TAACAGGCTATGCAAATTATCCCATGTTTCCCACTATCGTTGATGCCCTGGCATACTACACTAACTAGACAGTGATTCTTTTAACAATAGTTACTTTAGTTCATATGTCGATTCGATATATCCCAGAGAACTTAAAGTCACCACTGAATGTGCCATAACTGTTTCATGTTTGGAAGTTTTACTGACTATGGAAGAAGAGAGCCTACTGAAACTATTTTGTGTAAGAAAAAAAATGATTTCTTCTTCATCTTTTCCAAAGTGAACTTTCCGTATTTGTAAAGTAATATTCCGCTATCACCTGTTTATGGAATGGCAGGTAAATCGTTGCATCATTACACTTTTTTGTTACTCTTATTTAATTTTTTTTCTTTTTCTAAATCATTTCATTCTTGTTCGATTAAATATGATTCCTATTCGATAATTAAGTTGTTATTCTTGTGAGAAAAAAATGTTATTTCTGTTCGAGAATTCAGCACCTTTAAGTTGTTATTCTATTCGAAAATATGTGATTCCCATTTAATTTTTTTTTGTCACTTCTATTCGATATTAAAATGATCTATATTAGACAATCATGTTAACCATGTTATTCCTATTTAACTGAGTATACAACTTGTATGCAATTATTGAAAAAGAATAAGAAAGACATCAAATTATGCAATAAGATGAGAAATTTATCAAATAGGAATCGTATTTCTTCGAATAGAAATAGATGCTTGTATGTTTTCGAACAACTTTATTGCATATAAACCAAATAATTATCGAATAAAAAAGATAAAATTATCGAATAGGAATGACAAAATTAGCGAATAGGAATTGCATGTTTTCAAATATGAATGACTTCGAAAAGGAAACGTGTTTTCAAAAAGAATGATATGATATAGGAATCATATTGTGGTATTTTTTCCAATGTGAATAGCAATTAATCGAATACAAATTACAAATAAATCACATTATATCGAATAAGAATGATACCGGTATGCTTTAGAATAAGAATAATCTCATGCTCAAGGTTATGCTCCGAAAACGATAAATTTTTAAGCCGAGGCAGGCTACTGACAGATAAATTTGTTACAGGGAGTTCACCAGCCTTGTTTAAAGTCAGCTTTACTAACATTCTATGGTCGGTATGTAGATGTAAGATCTTTTTCACAAATATAATCTATCATTGGATTCATTTTGGCCGATGTGTTTCATTCTAATTTTTAGGCTTTTAATTTTGTTAATTTTTATACTGAATTTGACTAGATGGGATGTTCTGCTCACCTAATCAATATATATAGGGCTCACTATCTAGACACCAGATTTCCAGCATTTCTGTTTTATGCCCTATTCATAGTCTTGTAGTTATTTATGGATGCTATGGATTTTAGAAAGTATTGTCAAAAAATAAAGTTGTCATGCTTGAAGATAACTGAAATTGTGCACTGATCAAAATGTACATGTATATACGGGGTGATAAGTTTATTTCTATTATTCTTGAAAAGGGAAAAAATTAAAAAATAAATATAAATATAGAGATACTAATAAATCCCGTAAAACAACTTCCCAGCTCAAAAATGTTCAAATTCTGAGGTGGGGTCAATATTCAACAGGGTCAATTTTCAACTTGTCGAGGTCATCAGGGATAAGAAAAAAATTATCAAGCTGTTGAAAAATGACCCCGGGTATAAATTCAACGACTTTTGGTCTCAATTTTCAACGGTGAAAAAACACCCCCGGTTCAATATTCAACGTTGAAAAATGAACCTCGGGTCAATTTTCAACTCAGGTCAATATTCAACGTTACACCGGTGAAGGGCTGCAAATTTAGGCCTATGCTCGACACTTACGGCCTTTGAGCAGGGCAGGGAGGGATCTTTATCGTGCCACACCTGCTGTGACATGGGGCCTCGGTTTATACAGTCTCATCTGAAGGACCTTTTACGACAAACTGAGGACCTATTCTAACCCGGATCCCTACGGGGCTGATGCTGTCATAAGATAGAAATACACAGGTTTGCCTCTAAATATATACGTTAGCTCCCTTGTACTTGGGTAACGAAGAAGCCAAAGAAGTTATTCTACATTTATACGAAATGGGATGCTTACTCATCCTAGGCACCTGATTCCTTCTAGAATTTCCAGGGGTCAATGTTTTTATGCCACCTTAGTGACAGTGACATTTTCCGTCAATGATCAGATATCAGTGCTCTGTTGAAACAGTTGGTGTTTAGGCCACACCAATTTAATTTCCTGTTCGTCGGACATTTGATGAAAAAGGTACGAACGGATTAGCGGTTAAAAAAATATCATTACTAGAACCTTTTAGTAGGCAAATTTTTAGAGGGGGCATGAAAAAATTTGAGCGGACAATTATATTTTTTCTGAATTGAAGATTAAGTAGATTTAAAGCTCGATAAAAAGAGAGGGAATGGAACGGACAACAGCACATAATTTCCATGGTCCGGGAATTTTAAATTAATACTATTTGTATTATTTTGATAAAATTCGAGGGCGCGGGTCCGACGAAGAAAAATTTTTATTGGTGTGGCCTTAAAGTAAAATGTTATTTTTTTCTTGTTGTAATAAATAAATCGTCCTCTTTTGTTCCTGCAGCTCTCGTTCTAGATTTAAGTTTTTACTCTCTTGGACAGTCACCCTTTGAGAGAGGGCAAGGGACGCTTTTACGAGTTCCAAACATTCTTGGGTCAAAAGCTGAATTAGAGACTCTGTCTTAGTCCCTTCACGCAGTAGAAGGAAAAGGAGACAGAGTGGTCTGTAGACGGTCCCTATCAAGTAGTCCATGAACACAACAAAGATTTATAAAAAGCAGAAAAAGCACCAGGAAAAGGGTGTTACTTATTCTGGACTGTTATCACAATATGTTAATATTGAATCTTGACATAAGGATAAGATAGGACAATTTCACGCTTAGTTTGGACTTTCAGTAAGGCGTGGCATTGATATTCTCGGCGCTACATGTTAACCGCCGGTCAAATAGCGAAAAGATTCTCATTTTTAGGAAATTAATAACATCAGGAACTTAAATGGTTGTTGACAATGATGGAGACGACTTAAGCTCTTCATCTGTGCAGAATGAGACAATGTAATTGGTTATTCGATACATTAATTGGCATTTGCCCGAATTTCTATCCCATGTATATTTCATCAGTGAAGGAAAGCTGTGTAAATTTCAGAAGCTATTTATGTAACGTCGAGAATGCCACGCCTTATGCCTAGGTCACACTTCCCGGCCGGTAGCCGTAGACCGGTGGTAATCGGTAGTAATCCGTGGTGTTAAAGATTCCCCAACATCGGTCCATATCGGCCTAGCAGTCCTAAAAGTATCACATTATCCAGCGATGGGTATCCGATGGGCAACCAATGCGTTTTATGATAAAAATGGCGTGGTTGCCGCCCGGACTCACAAAAGCCCAGCGATGCATTGTTTATCATAAAACAATGTTCCAGGATAATCGGCCGATGTATATTTCATCGCTCATACATTTGTGAACATCGTTCGTGCATCGGTCGACTACGGGCCAATGTTTGGTCGAACATCGACCGATGATCGGCCGTTATCTGTTGAACACCACTCAACTCCCCGATGACCTTAGATTCAACGGATATTGGACGATGCTCGGCCATACATCGGCCGATCCGTAAAAGATGTGTTAATGATGGGTTGCCGATGAGGAGCGATGTGAGGCATCGTTTAAGACATCGCTGAATTTTAACTACGAATTATTTCCTACCGATGACCCCACCCATTCGCAAAAAAGCCTCAGTCACCGGCCGATCACTAGTGGTGCCCGGCCGGCAACCACGCCATTTTCATAAAAAATGCATCGGTTTCTCATCGTATAGCCCATCGCTGGATAATGTGACTGATACTTTACTGAAAGTCCATAATAAGCGTGTAATGGTTCTAATGTGAATATAAATAATTATAGATAACAAATTAAATAGAAACACCAACACACAGCTGTACTCATCCCAAAAATTGTGTCTCATTAAATTCCGTTTGTGTGATTTTTTAAAAAAATATTTATTTTATTTTAAATATCTGATTTGATACGTTGTGACGGCCTTCCGGGAAGAGGTCGGGATTTTATTTAGTACGTTTTCTAACGTTACGGCAATGACACTGTAAAAATGTCTTGACGAAAAGGATATATAAAAGTCTTCCGTTAATTTTGAAAAGAAAAATAACAATAGCAAAGAGAAGATGAATTAATTGAAAAAGAAAATCCGGTAAGCTAAGTCTTTTATTATAACACGTTTTTATGACGTAGCCTATACTAGTAGTTATTTCTCAAAAATGCATGTATATATAAACTTCTACTGTGTCGTTCGTTTTCTTGTGTGGACGAATTTTACAGGAGGCCACAAAATGATGCCTCCCTTCTCAAATGAGTATAATAGCTAAGAAACTGGTGCACCCAATACCATATAGAGAAATTGGCATGTCCAATTTTTGCTATGGTACGCTCTCCCAGGAAATCTGTGTGTTTGAAACGTCAGAGGTGCACAATGACATTATGTAATACAAAATCTATGAAAAATGAAAATCTTTTACTTTATTCGGATGAGACATTATAAAACGAGAACCCTTGGCACGGCAGGCGTTGGAGTGATAAAGATCCCTCATTGCTCAATGGCCCTGAGTGCCAGTAAACGTCTAAATTTGAAGCCCTTCACCGATGTATGGTGAAGTCTCTTTATCAGCAAAAAAATCTCAAATGGGAGTAAAACAAAATACCATCGAACGATTTTATGTAAGAGTTATCAGTATTTTAATCATTAATTTTATTCACCATTAACAGTTTTAAGGAAAAATGCAATTAGTTTCTATTATCATCAAATATACTTTCAACAATAAGTATGAAATTGTACCTTTGTTATTTTTATTTTACCATATAGATAAAAGCTGAAAGTAAAAAAAAAACAATATAAGCTAGGAGCTTAATTTTACAATCATGAATACACGAATGGTCAATTTACTCGATTTGCATCCCGACGAAAGTGCTTTTTCCATGAATCTGAGGTGTTGGTTTACCATTAATTCTTACCCACACTGAAGACGAGGGAGAGAGCATAGTCACGGCCATAGCTCCGGACTGCACAAACAAATCATGAGACTGGCAATAAATAACACTAATTATGCTTCAATCTCGAACAAGTTCAGCACCAACATTGCCACCATGGCACTCAACACCATAAAAGAAAATGAAAAGCTCAGACCGATCTGACCTGAATATTCCTGTATTGGCATCATAGCGGGACCCAAAGTTGCTCTTTACCTGGGTAAATTTGACAGTTTGACCATTGTGAACATCCTCGTCAGCATGTAGCAAAGTCGTAAAGCCGAATTTGTCTCTGTATTCTGAAACTGAAACTTTAAAATTAATGATACTAAACATGTTATTTAAAGTATAACGGTTATGCTTATGATAACTTAACAATTACTTTTCGTAACAAGAGAGCTTTGGATCACTACTACATGTAGTATATGTTTAAAACACTTTGGACTTGCCCTTATTCAAAAACACATTTCCTTGATATTTTTATTGCAGTAGTTTTCACATTAACTCTTGTCAGTATTTTTCAATTTTCAGTTTTGACAAAAACTATTTTTTGAGTCTTTTTTTACTTGAAGCAATTACCCTTAATGTATTGTATCTACATGTATCACATATAATATGACTTCAGCAAGCACATTTTTATTTACGCGCTATTACATCGTTATTTGTGATACGCCATCATACATTTCAATGATGTCAAAATATACATCACAGACAAGGAAACATAATTAACATTAAATACAATAAGAATTTTAATTCTGCTGATTAACTTGAAAAGGCCCTTCTTCCTTTATGAAATCAACAACCATGTTATGATGTATATAAAAGTCAGAAAACTGAAATAGAAATACATGCACATGTACATGTATACATGATTGTGTCTACTTACCAAAGCTGTGGTAAGATCCATTTAGGGCTCGAAGAGAAGACACAACTGCGAGATCGTCTTTCTGAATTTTTGCTACCATTTCATTCGTTTGTAAAAGAGAACCATTGACATATTCTAAAATAGATAGTAGAAAGTTTTAATCAAAGCAAAATGTACGCATAGAGGTACAAGTTAGAAATGCGCGAACGCCTTCAATTACATGTAAGGATATCCGATCATTAAATAGCAAAAATTTTCATATTGATAGTAATGCTCTGCGTTTTACAACAAATTCACAGTGTTGATGTCTTCCAGCTTATTCGATATTTAAGAACATGCTATAATTTTAAGTTTTGAGCTGGGGCGGGCTAGTGATAGATAAAATTGACGTTACAGCTAGGGATCTCAACACACAACTGGACGTATTTGGAATTCAAGACGTTTAAGGAATTGTAATTCACATGCAGTGCAACTTACCAATAATTCTTTTGAAAACGTATTACCGATAACTAGAAAAATCATTACCATTTAAATCCGAAACGGCGTTGAACAAAGAATTATTCATGCCAATAACATTTGATTGCAAATCGACAAGTGTTAGTGAAATGTATCTGTTTTGTATTTTAAGTTTGTCAACCATATCCGAAATGTTTTCTATTTCCCCTTTCTGGATTAGTTTATCATTTTGCATTTGCTGTAACACTGATGATTCAACTCGATCTACTTTCTCCTCCACTCTTGTTATGTTTTGTTCATTGTTCTCACAACAAATCGACAGAATGGTGACATTTTCTTTAAGCAATCCAATGTCTTTTGTCAGAAAATTTGTCGAATTCAAGCACGAATTCAAATCTTTTTGCAGCGATGCAATCTCAGTGGTTTGCCTGGTGAGTTGTTGTTTAATGTTGTTATTTTCTTGTTGCTTCCCTTTTTGTTCTTGCAGCTCTCGTTCCAGATTTGAGTTTTTACTCTCTAGGACAGTGACCCTTTGAATTAGCGTACGCGACATCTTTTCGAGTTCTGAAAATTGAAAATCTGGTGCAATGTTTCCGTGTCTGAACCTCTATGTGCCGTAGATGCAGTGTGAGATGGCGAGGTCGGTAGAGGGTTTCCATTAAGTAGTCCGCAAATTTTATACAAATTCAGATAAAGCACAATTAAAAGCACTTGGGAACGAATGTTACTCATTTTTGCAGAGTGACTAAATAACAAATTGAGAGATGATAATCAAAATGCAAATAAAAAGTAGCTAGATAACATAAGTTCAAAAATCAGTAGGATGATGTTAAACAAGAAAATTAAAGCTATTTGTACATCTTGACATTTCCGCTAGACAAAGTGTTAAATGATAACTGTAGATTTCGATTTGTGTGCATGTTTGTACGAGTTAAGAGCAATTGAAAATGAATAACATTCTTTCCCAAGTGCTTTTTAGCTCACCTGAGCCGAAGGCTCAAGTGAGCTATTCTGATCAAAATTTGTCCGTCGTCTGTCGTCGTCGTTGTCGTCGTTGTCGTAAACTTTTCACATTTTCATCTTCTTCTCAAGAACCACTAAGCCGATTTCAACCAAACTTGCCACAAAGTATCCTTAGGTGCAGAGAATTCAAGTTTGTTCAAATGAAGGGCCACACCTTCTTACAAGGGGAGATAATTATGAATTAATGAGAAATTAATGACATTTTTTTTAAAAATCTTCTTCTGAAGAACCACAGGGCCAGGAAACATGAAACTCATGTGGAAGCATCCTCAGGTAGTGTAGATTCAAGTTTGTTCAAATCGTGTCCCCCTGGGGTAGATTGGGGCCACAATGGGGGGTCAAAGTTGAACATAGAAATACATCGGAAATACCTTTTAAAAAATCTTCTCAAGAACAGCAAAGCGATTATTGTTATAGTTATATAGAGGCACCCTCAGGTACTAAGTGATTTTGCATTATTAAATGCAGAATCAATTTTGTATAGTTTGTGTACGTCAGGAATAAAATCAACAGAGGGCTGAGTTTGTTTATTTTTTTTCGATCGGGCGCGGTGTACCAATTTCTGAAAAAGAGGCTCAGTCGCCATTTTTGTTGTGGAGAAGAGGAAGATCTTAGAAACGCGGAACGGGAACAAAAATATTCACTGATCATTGCTGATTGTTGGTTTCATTATGTAAGGTTTGAAAAGTGTAGAATTTACCTGAATAATTACAACCTATAGTTTATATTCATACAGCATTATTGCAGAGTGTTTCGGCGCAACATAATACTGCGCAGTTTACTGCTCTCGGAGAAAAGTCACACGGGGAAGAACAAGTCACTGTTACATTTGACTAATGTTACAAGATTATAAAAAAAATATTAATTATTTATTTATTTAATATACTTAGTGGAAGGAAACGTTATATTTTGTTCACAACATAAGTGCAACTCTCGTATCTAGTCTCACCAGTCGTTTCAGAACCGGTATGTTAATAAAGGATCCGGATAACTTCTTGTCGATAAAAGTAGTAGGACAACTTGTGTGTAAAAGTTTGCAGAAAGGAAACGTCTATATATATCATACATATATGCACTTGATTTTGTGTCGATCGTGTAGAAGTTTATCACTATATTATTACAGGTTCTTGACTAAAATGAAATATAGTAAAATGTAATTAAAAAAAGATACCAGTAGAATTAAAAGATTTTAAGATAATATAGATGTTTGTGTTGTTAATTATTGTTTTATGTGTTTTATATAATCAAGAGTCTAAATCAACTACAAAAAATGAAGATGAACAAAATAGCCTATTTCTTTTTTTGAAAAAAAAAATTATTATAATACTTTAATATATACTACCTATGTTGAAAAATTAGTAATTTCAAAAATATAAGTTGGTAGTGAGAATTTGTTATCTATGTTTCTTTTTTTTTTCTTAATAAAATTCAAACCAAAATTTAGTGTCCAGTCGGTGCCTTAATTTTGTTTCCACCAGTGTTTACCTTGAACTGGTGATCATTCTTGACAGTGTTCAAGTATTAATAAAATAGTTTTCTTTGCATTAACAAGTTCCTTATATGTTTGGTTGCTGAACCAAATGGGACCTATATATTCTCTGTTGAACTTATCATACACAGTCTTCATGAAAACTTCTAAAACTTACTTTCCAGTCAGACCAGTGAACATTCATAAATTTAATGACCCAGCCATTGTCGGAAACCCATGGGTGATCTTGTCTTTACTTATGACCTGTAGGCAAACTCCCTGAAAAATTGTATGTAATTAAATATGCATGGATCATTTGATAGGCTGCTTAAGGAGTCGCAATAGCAAACAGAGAATAACAGTTCACGTTATGTATGTATGCTCAAGCTCAAACCTCATTTTGTAGTAAACACAGATAATAAATGCACTCACCGATGCATTTTGCAGTAAGAAGGAGGTACTCCTATATTAATATCTGACTGGTATTAATGTCAGTGACATGTACAATTGACTTCAATTTTACTAAATCAAATTTCAAATTCCAACTTTCTGATCGGTTAACTATAAACAACAAATTAGCATAATTTACAACAATATTTCAGCTAGTTTGCTGACAGGTGATAAGTGAATACAAGATCACCAAAGGGTTTCTGACAGTGTGGCCTACCAAAAATTCCACCAAAAATTTCACTGGTCTCCTTAATTAAAAAAAATTACATACTTATAAATTAATACATGCTTGCATGAATATGTTTGATGAAGTACTTCAACTTTTGAAGCACTTTTCCCCCTTTGTCATGTTTTGGTAAGTTGTTCTTTTCATAGGATACTTTCATGTTTTACATACTAGTTAATACAGTGTACATCACTGTACATAGTTCCAGTTGTTACATAATACATTTATGTTTCATTTAATAATACAATTCACCAACTCATGCTTGTTGTTTTTATTTATTGTATTTATGAAATTTATGCAAGCAAAACAGTTTAAATATTTATTCAATTTGTATGATTTTGATAATTAACAAGCGCATCAGACTTTGTGAATTTTGATTTTCACTGACCGAATGTCAAATTTCACAGGCCTCGTTCTTTGTACCAGTGAGTTTTCGTGAAGACTGCTTATAAATATTTCTGACGGTGAAACTTTTAGGCCAATCAAAGTTTTATTTTTAGCTCTTTTGAGCCAAAGGCTGAAAGAGCTAATGCTATGGCCATTTGTGCATTGTGCGTCATGCGATGTGTGTTAACTTTTTAGAATATGGGCCATAACTTAAGAACCCCTCGTCCAATCATTGTCAAATTTGTCACAGGGTATCCTTGTCTCAAGGGCTACCATTTATACTATAACTAGGGGTGGGACATTAAAACAAGGGGAGATAATCAGGAAAATAAAATCAAAAGTACTGGTTGCTAAAAAATCTTCTCTAGAACCACATGTCAGATTTTCACCAAACTTACATACAAGGGTCGGAATATGTTGAAGATTAAAAATTGTTCAAAGCATGACCCTGGGGCAAAGGGTGTGGTCTCGAGGTCACTTCAAAGTTGACCAAAATTTACACTTATTAAAAACGTTGATATTTTGCTTACTGTAAAGACTAGGACCATAAAAACTTGTAAGTTGATGCATCTAAGGACTTCACATCATGTTAACACAAAAGTAGGTCACGATGACCTACTTTTAAAATTTTAGGGGCTTTTGTTTTCAAATTGATTTGGAGGCATATTTTGGACACTTTAAGGTTTATGATCATAAAACTTTGTCAATTGGTGCATCTTGGGTCCCCAAACAACATTAACTTAAAGTAGGTCATCCTGACCTACTTTTTGAACTTAATGGATAATCTTTTTTAAAACATATAGTCCCATTGATTCAGACACCCAGAGGTTTAGAATCACCAAATCTTGTAAGTTGATGCATCTTGGGGCCTTAAAATTTATTTATGAAAAATAAGGTCACTGTGACCTACTTTTTGAACTTTGCAGGCATTTGTTATACCCCCGCAAACAAAGTTTGGGGGGGTATAAAGGAATCACCTTGTCCGTCTGTCTGTCTGTCTAGCTGTCCGTTTGTCTGTGCAATCGTGTCCGGTCCATATCTTTCTAACAGAGGGACATTAGAATTTACTACTTCACACTAAGATTGCTCATGACCTAAGGGTGTTTCATGACGTTGACCCA